TGGACAGTCGTGCTGAGTTCATTTTTTAAGTTGCTAATAGATTTATCAAGCAAACCATCAGCGTTTGATATTTGGCTTAATTTTTCTCGGCTTAAATCTAGGGAGGTTTTTAATTGATTCAATTCACGCCTTATATTGTCATTGCTTTCTTTAATTGACTTTATCTGTATAAAACATTCGTCTTGTTTTTCAATAAGTTTATTGACAGTGTTGAATCACTTAGAAAACTTTCGACATTCATCGCAAAAATATTTCAAATTTGCTGTATTTTTCAACAATTTAAAACCCTCGTCAGTCAATTTAGCACACTTAACATGACTGTAACATTCACAGTACGAACATTTGATGCCTTCCAAAAATTTGTGCTTTATCTCTGCGCAATAACAACATGTCTTGAACATTGTATAAACGATCTTTGGTAACAGACAGGTGAAAGGAATGTATTGAAGGTGACCTTCAAGCAACTAATAAATGTCTACTAACTTCTTATCTTTGAATAAAAACAAATCAAACGATAGTTCTTACAACTTAATTCTTTAAACGTAACTGAACTAATTATTATTTTAGTTCAAATTAACGTAGTTAACCAACAAAATTATATAATTCCACCGGAGCAAAAATTTAGTCGTGTGCGTGCAATTAGCAAAGATATACATTTTATATATTAGGGTGTCCCAAAAATATGAAGTTTTAAAATATTGATGTCTCACCCCATTAAATATATCTGTATGGTAACAGTAATTTACCTGCTAAATTTTAGCCCATTTGGACAATGTGTAGAGATTTGTTTATACAAATGAAACAAAATATATAATTGTGAAAAAATATATAAATCTGCAATGCTTTTTATTTTTTAATTTCAAAAATTAGGTCAAAAATGATTGAAAAACAAGATTTTATTGAATTTCAGTTCGCTTGAATATTAATTAATGTAAATAATTCAAATTTTTGCTAGCAGTTCACGATTATATTCTGCAAAGTTTTTCCTATGCTGTTCAACTACTTGAAGCAAAAATTGTTTCTGCTCTGCGTCTTTGGTGATTGTTTCATTGAAATGTTGTACCAACGCTACTCCCCGTTCTGCAGAGTCATTGATGCAAACCAGATTCTTTACAAACATTGCTGCAACTTGGAAAGAAGGAGTATCTGACCAGTTTTCAACAAGTACATCAAGAAAACTGGCATCAATATTAGATGTTTCAAAAAATGTTTTAGACGCACGCAAGTTGTCAAAACTTTGTGGTAGTGTTTTCATCAGATGCGGGCCTCGATCTGCTTGTATTGTGCGGACAAGATCAGTCTTTTCTTTGTCATACAGGAGAGATGAAAAAAGAACAAGAGTTGCCAATTCTGGACTCATGTACCAAAAATGACGCAGCATCATTTTTAATCGTCAAACCAAGAACTGCATCGTCATAGTCATGCAAACGCTGTATCAACAAAATATCATTCACAGGTGCATCAGCAGTGAGCCTGCATGAAAACCATGACTGAAGATAAACACAAATGATAAACCGATTCAAACGTTGAATACCTTGTAATTCTCGAGCTGTTTAAGTTAAAAATGGTTTTATTTACGGTGAATAATAGTTCAATTTTTAATGCGTATCCATCGTGCCCTGTGCCGTGCACCAGGTTTGCGAATGGCTACATCAACCTGCAGTTCAGCTATTTGTGCAGCAAGAAGTAGAAACTCTAAATAGTCATCTCGAGAATGTCTGACCTCAAGTTGACATTTGATGAATGCTTTAATTGCATCTGAAACAATTATCAAAGGGATTGATCTGGCTTCTGGTGTGTGATTCATTTCTGTCCATTTTTCACGAAACCTTTTGAAGAATAAAATTTCTGGTCCAGTGTATGTTCCAAGACAAACACTATATACACCGGCAAGCAGCACTTCAAACTTATGATGACGGCNAGCCATCCATACTAAATTACGTCCCATGGCTTTTTCTAGAAG